AAAATAAACACCATTCATGAAGAGTGGGTTAATAAGAACACAGGGCCGACAAATTTCAATAGAAATAGTATTTGGAACACGACGGCTAGGGGTTAGCTATGTCTATTTATTAAGGTGACCAGATTTCCAAAATTCTAAACTGGGATACACCTGGGTTGGGATGGTTGGTATAAATAAAATTGTGAAAAAAGTGTACGATCGTGCATGTTCGTGTCAGTCATAATCTGAGGGACTTCTGTTGCTGTATTTTTTTGCTTTATGGTCATTCGCAAACACGGATTTCTGTATTTTGGCAAAACAGATGTAACAATTTATGCTCCTCTTTACTCAGATTAGTCAAAAATGGTCAATAGTCCTGTTTTAGTCCTGGTTAAGTTTCACTTTAATCCTGGTTTAGATCAAATTGGTCAAAAATAGGGACACATGGGACATTTGTAAAAGACATAAAGTTGTTATTATTTAAATCGTTTTGTACTCCATTGTACACAGCTCAGATCTGGACTAATTATAAAAAAGCCAGTTTGCAAAGACTGCAGGTGGACTACACTGACGCTTTACGGGTGTTTTTGAGGAGGCCACGATGGACGAGTGTGACTGAAATGTTTGTTACTGCTCGAGTGAACACTTTGCAAACTGGACTAAGAATTTTAATGTACAGTTTTATCTGCAGACTGAACAAATCAAGACAATGAAATAATAAAATCACTCACAAATCTGAGATTCAGTGCAATAAGAAATCAGTCCAATATGTGGACACACTGGTATGGTTGTCTTTTAAAAACACAAATGTTTGTTGCTGTCCTCGTCTGTTTTAAAAATGGATCATGAGTCCAGATGAAAGATGATGATTTCTTGTATAAAACTGGGACAAATCAATGGTTTTGTATAAATCTGAAGGGACAGGAGACACAGGGTTCAAAACTGGGACTGTCCCGGGTAAATAGGGATGTCTGGTCACCCTACTATTTATATATATTACTCTATGGGCTGGTCCTTCCACAGAAAAGTTACATTGTGCATCTTTAAATTAGAACAACGGTTAATTTATTTCAGTTGAAGTGACAGTTTCACGCTAAAGAATATTTATGGATACAACTGACATTTCACTATAAAAACGAGTATTTCTTGTTCACATCTGAAGTGTAACCTGATCATAATACTGCTAGAAAACATCGAAATCACAAACTTACTAGATCAAGTTTGGACACAACATATAAACTCTTTTAAAACATTTCCAGTTTGAACAAAGCACATTTAAAAAGCTGTAACCGAAGACTTAAAACAATGCATTTTGAATTGACACTTTTGCATTGGCTGCAGTTCGCCATTTTGAGTTTTTGATTACAAGGAGCTTTCGTGGGCTAGTCCAGGCTTGCCGATCGTAGCAAAACTCAACCTGACTGAATATTTAAGAAGCTCAAATATGAAGATTTTCCCTTTAAATGCATGCAAGTATGTGGTGTGATTGTCAAAGCGGCTTTCACTGCAAAAAATGAATAGCTAAAATCGCTGTTTCCCAATCAAATAGCAACGGTACTTCTATTATTCAAAGGTACAGTGTGGAACTTTAACAACTGCGTGATTCCACAAAAAATTGAAAAGTTAAACCATACTTCAGAACATTCCCCATAGAGATTTTTCTTTAATCTATCTACTTACATACTGTGACTTTAAGATTTCAAAAGTGGTCAAACTCTGTCCTTATAAATACTAATTAAAAAGGTGAATTATTTAAAGGTACATTGTGTAACTTTTCTGATGTAGGATTCACTTACCTGTTGGTGTAGATGTTAGTGTTTTGCCTGAATGTTCCACAGTATAGCATTAAACCTTTGCATTTATTCAATTCTCATTCAATACTCATAAGTACCTTGAAAAAACATGCATTGTTATTATGAGTGGGCTTGCTTCTCCACAGATTTGACCTGTAACTGGGCATGGTGGTGTCATTTGGGAACTAGGGAACATTCCAAACAAAGAAAGACGCTTCACTCGAAAAGTTACATAATGCATCTTTAAATGTTTTTTTTTTTCCCCCATTAAAGAAGTTTTATTTTTGATTGCAATTACTGTTTGCCTGGTTACTAACACAGTGTAAGACAAAAAGTCCACAAGTTGGGTAAAAATATGATTGGAAACCACTGATATAGTTAAAATGACTTGAATTCAAAATATTACTCTTAATTAAAGTTGTTTTGACTACTTAATATTTATTTGACCCAAATGACTTACTGTAAAACAATCTAGTTTACCGTAAATTCCGGACTATAGAGCACACCTGAATATAAGCCGCAAGTGTCCACGTCTTCAAAAATGTTTTCAAGTTCGGGCCGTCTACTTTTATCGTCTCTGAAAGCTTTTGTCGTCTTTTTGCATTGAGTCAGTTCATCACGCTGCCGTCGCCAACGTCTCACCAACGACTCACTGATGCCGAGATTTCCTTCTTGCACAGACTCATCAATCGTCGTTAATTTAAAAGCTGCATCATCAGTATTTCTTTGTGTGTTTTCCACAAGGAGGGTGTTTGTATGAAGAGCAAAATAACTGTTCAAATAACAATCAAACGAGCATTTTCCTCGGCGCATCACCCCTGTCTCTCCCCGTGCTCTACTGCGCATGTCTCCTGCAGAAAGAGCCTCTGTCCTGTCTGTATCATGTCAATGTCTCATAGGATTTCTCTCGGGGGCTAGGCTAGTTCTCTCAATCAGGTATGAGTGGATGTCCGGCTGCTGAAGTTTGAGACGATTCTTCTCGTCATTTACGCATACAGGTAAGACGTATCCCCCTCACTAATGTTCATTTAACATCATAACTTATTTTATCACACAGCAATAAACTATTTGAGTGTGCTGACAATATCACTAGCTAATGTAGCAACTTCATGTTAACCCTAGATCTATGTCACTGCACAGACAGAGGCGCTTTCTGCACTCAGGCTGCGAGTATCCACTGTGTTCCCAAACCATAGTGCAGGCATGTCCAAACTATGGCCCGTGGGCCAAATGCGGCCCTCAGACAATTTTCTTGGCCCTCAGGCTTCAAGGTGAATTGGCCCAAGTTACCATTCATCAATTAAAATTTAAACTTTTTAATGCAAGTTTTTTGAAAATCTACCTTGATAAAGCGAATATTTGATGTTTAGTGTGTGGTTTTAAGGATCTTAGCATGAATAAAGATGATGGCTCATTCTAACATGTTAAACCTGCACATATTTTAATTATTCACTGTATTGAGCACCAGTCTGCGGTCCTTGATCAGCCCTCTGCTTCATCTGTGTTTAGATATGTGGCCCTTGATGAAAAACGTTTGGACACCCCTGCCATAGACCGTATATATGAATGGACAATATGCCAAACAAAGAATCCATCCATATATTCGCCGCATCATTTTATTAGCAGCAGGGTTCAAAGTATGAGTGAAAAGTAGCGACTTCTAGTCCGGAATTTACGGTAAATGCATGTATTTTGCTTCTTGCTGCTTTAATAATACAAAAAAAAAAAAAAAAAGAAAAGAAAGAGGTCTAGTTAAGATTATTATTATAAATTTAAGTCCTTTTAACTACTTTTTAGGGTGTTTTCACACCGACAGTATTTGGTGCGCACCAAACGGTCCATTCGAACCAAAAGTGGTTAGTTCGGTTCGTTTGCGTTGGTGTGAAAGCGTCAATCGGACTCGGACCCGAACCAAATCAAGCGGTGGTCTCGGTTCGCTTGAATCCGCACCAAATGACCAACTTTGGTGCGGTTCCTCTGGTGTGAACGCGAACCCGGGTCCAAACCATAGACAGTATGGACAAACGGACTATTCGAAATGCATCATGGGAGGGACACGCGTCTCCTCTGCCTGAAATGACGCACTGTACGACTCCAGCGCAGTAACAGACTGTTGTCCAGACGCAGACGCGATTCATTTTCAAATTATTTTACCAACAATGGCCAATACAGAGAATGTAACACACGAATGGCTCCAGAGTGAAAAAAAAGTCAAAATTGGGGGTGCGTACCCCTGTTCGGGACCTACACGCACAGAGAAGTCCGGTGTTCCCCCGTGATCACACAGCAACCAACATTTGTTATTTTAGGCTCTAATTAACCAAATAATTTCATGGCAATAGGCAATCGCCCATTCAATTGATACAACTTAAAAAAGTCCCTGTTTTTAGCCTAGTGTGAGAAATACAGTCGGACTAGATCCAAACCAGAGTCCTGAACCAGCGGGGGCAGCTCCGGTTCAGGCCGGGCTCAGAGGAGCTGGAGCGGGGAGCCTCGACCTGAGGAAGCACTTTCCCCGGGAAGAACCAAATGCGCGGAGGACGGACGCTCAGAACAACATATAACAAACCAAACTGGACTCACGCTTCTGTCCGGATGCTGCACCAACTCGGAACCAGCCGCGGTTCTTGAGCGCGGAGGACAGGAGCAGGGCGCCCGGACCTGTAGTCCACAGCGCATTCTTGCTTTTCCCGCACGGAAACAGCGCGCAGACGACGGAACGTACCTGCTCGGACTCAGTCATTGCGCACTGGTCTTGCTCGCCACCGTTTGGAACCAGCACATGGAGGACAGAGCCTCTGACCAACGAGCTTGTAACAGAAGACCAAGGACCAGACCCCAGCCCCGTCCTGAGGAGCTGCGCGCTACTTTGAGCACTGTTGGCTGCTGCTGTTACCTGAACTCTGGGCTGATGCGGTGAGTTTGTACAAAGTTCTACATGTTGCTGTTTTATGAGTCATGGTGATAATTTGAGATGAGGACGGCCCGTGGTATTAACAGAACATCGGTGTTGATAACTGGAGTATCGCTGTTTACCGGGGAAACAGAGACACGTGAATCGAACCAGTTTCGTTTGTCGGTGTGAACGCGGACCACACTGGAGTGTATTTGCTACATAATAACAATTTTATTGCCTGGTGCGGACCAAATAATCGAACTAGCGGTGTGAAAACGACCTTAGATACACATTTTTTGCAGCTAAGTTTGAAATCTGCATAGAGAGAGAGAGAGAGAGAGAGAGAGAGCTACAGAAAGGCACATAGATATTTGTGGTCACGTGACTTGGATGAGAGATGGCTTCACTGGCTTTTGCTCAATGCATTGTGGGTAATCTCAAGGTCCATTTTCCCAAAAGCTTCAGTCATGTTGAAACTGTCTTTGGTTTGTAGCTCATAATTTCTCTTCAAATCCGAGTTTGTTTGATAATATATAAAATTCTTAAAGCGAAAGAATAAACGTAAATATTTAAAATCTTTTACAAATTGTTCCCTTTAGTCTCCTTTCGCAGCTCGGGTTAGACAAAACACAGGTTAAATTAGTGTTTACTGTTCGAAATCCACCCAAAATTCTGTCAAAGTATAGTGGCCAAAACGCATTCAATTCCTCTTATTGAAACTGACAACTTTTTCGACCAATCAAATCCAGTTATCCACAGAAAGGGCGGGCTTTATGCAATCCATTCACGAAGAGTCCAGCCAACTCGAGCCTTTTTTGCACCAGTCCCACACTTGGATAAACGTCGATAGGGGTGTCATCAGGGAGGGCATCTGGTTTAAAACACATGCCGATTCATTGTACAAACTTGAGAGACAAATGATATGATGTGATGATTTTAGAAAGGGTATTTTAAAAAGGTCTGGCTTTCTCTGGTTAGATCCCTGAATTTTTCCATTTCACTAATTTCTTTTTGAATCTTGAATTGTCTAAAAAGCAAATCACAATCTTTGCACTGATGAGAAAAATTACAAAACGTGGTTGGCTTTATATTCGACATCATCAGGAGCTTAAACTTAGGCAGCTTACTGTAATTTTGGGATTTTCTAGTCACCAAACTCTTGTATAGTTTCCTGAGAGTTCAAATTCCTCTTGGGTTAAGTTACTTTGAATTCATTTTCAAATCAGATTTCTGATTTTCACACCACAAACTCAGGGACCTCTTCGCTGGTCAGATCTAGAGAAAAGTACTTGTTTGTCCTCTTGATTGCGAAGGATTGTGGGTCGTTTCGGACGCTCGCAGATGGATCTCCCAGGCCCTGGTAGGTGCACCCGTCACTGAGCTCCTGGGCACAGCCGAAGGTGTAGCTGTGGGCGGTGTCCTGGCATAGCTCCGCCCACTGAGCGCAGTCCTTCTGATACAGGCGGATGTCGTCCAGGGACTGACTGTGGCGGTCTGTGGAGGACTGGGGCTTTTTGCTCACAGACTGCTGCAAAGACAAGGAATACAAGCAGATCATCTTAAATTTGTTTTCTACTGGTAAAGGAACTGTACATAGCCTGTGCTCTTATTGTTAAAAAAAACAAAACACAACTGCAAATGGAAATAGAAAGTTAAACCATTAGGGATGTAACAATAACCGAAATATCATAATATTGTATCGTCAAAGTTCTCACAATAATATTGTGGACCATCACAATATATCAAAATACAAGTCTTTTTACTTAAATGAAGAGTTATGTTGCAGCAATAGCTAAAGAAAGACAGAGGGAACTACATAGACCATGATCCTTTGCTCCATTTCAGTGCAGACTACAAGAAGAAATAACAGTTCTAAGCACTTTTAAGTCTTAGTTCTTTGGATTAAGTCTTGTCAAGGCATTTTAAGAGGAAAAAGTAGCATATTAACAGTTTTAGCTGTTTAGCCTCCATAAAATATCACAATAAATATCGCACTATGAGATGTATATCGTGAAAATATTGTACCGAGAGATTTGGATATTGTTACATTCCTAATTGTGAGTAGAGGTCTGCGCGGGATAGAATTTTCAGTCCCACTCTCGCCCGCACCCGCACTATGTAGTCCCGCTCCCGCCTGCTCCCGCCTGCTCCCACAAAGAATTTTCAGTCCTGCTCCTGCCTGCATCTGCGATATTTTGTCCCGCAAGATGGTGACGTTCACTTTCTTAAGCTCTATCAAACACGGAGAAGTGGAAAAGAACTGTCTAAAACCGTGGTCCCCAACCTTTTTTGCGCCAGGCATGGTTAAGTCCTGGCTACACCTTAGTTTGCAGGATTACATTTTATCATCCCACCTGCCCGCTCCCGAGTTGTGTATAGTCCTGCTCCTGCCCGCCGCCGTAATGAGTTTTCAAAATGTAAAATGCTTCCTGCTGCGCACTGCTTTCTGTCGGGTGCAGGGCTCTAATTATGAGCCACCCCACCATATCAGCGCCTTCCCACGATACCGCAATAAATATCGTACAGTGAGGTTCATACTGTGACGATATTGTATTGTGAGACTTGAATATCGTTGCACCCCTATAAACAATACTGTGGAACATTCCCCACGCAGACAAAGATGCTTTTTTCTGTTATCAAGCTAAAAAGTTACAAACTGTGGATTTAGACATAAGATGGGAAACCACTGTATATCAAGTTAAAATGACTTGAATTCAAAATATTACTTTTCATTAAAGTTGTAAGGAACTGCACAATTGAACTTGGGTTGCCACATTTTCAGTATATGGAAAGGCTTCATGTGAAAACTCTTCGACGACTTTCCTCACTGAGCTGATTCATGATTGGCTGGAGGTGCTGGGGTTTAGGCAGTGACCATTCAGATCAGAGAGAGACATTTTCGGTTTAAACTAACTCATTCTACTTTCTGATTGGATAACCATCTTGAGAATCAACACACCAAATCATAATATCGCTTAAATAAATGGTTCATCATGTCCAATATTTTTGTAAGAATAAATCAGCATAAGAATTGTTATCAGTAAAAGTTATATTTGATTTGAACATGTTTACTTTGTATCTGGGGACACAGATCAGGTTTATGAAATTTGAAATCATAATGTTACAGTTCCTTTAAAGAGGCCGTACCTGATTTTGTATATTTGTGAGCTGTACCTGTGGCAGTGACTCGATGCTCTGTCCTCTCATCTTCACCACAGTCTCTGAGGAGCTGGATGTGGACGAGCTGATGTCTTTCACTATAAGACCTGAAAAAGGAGAACAACATGTAGATTTAGATTCATGTACCAAATAATCTTTGACACTAGAGCAGCTGTAGAATTCCTGACCTGAGTATCCGTTGGTGTGGTCTGGGGACATCGTGAGCATGTCTTCTGTGATGTGAATACACAGGTCCTGGTCCAACACCATCTCATGCAGCTCCTCGTAGTCTTTAGGGTCGTCCACCAGCATCTCGATCTCTGCAACGTTACAAATGACAATATTTAACTATTTGAAACTAAAGGTTAAAAGCACTTTACCAAATTCTTATTGTATTTTTCGGACTATAATGTGTAACGGATTATAAGGCGCAATATCAGGAATGTTGTATTCTCTCGTCTATTTTCATACATAAGGTGCACCGGATTACAAGGCGCATGAAGTGAAACAAATGGACGACACTTGAGACTGATCCTTAGCCCAGGCATCCATTGGCAGATCATGTCGTAACTCACCTGGCGTTGCCTCCATGTTTTGGTGAATGTGTATTATGAATGTGAACGTGTTTTGTTTGTTTTTTATTTCCAATGAGGAGGACTCAAATATACATTGAGTAATAATGTGTTTAATGCAGTTTTGCACACCTTTGTTTAATTTTAACAGAAATTAAACTTAAAACCACATGGCTCATTTGCATAAACTATAAACGCTGAAAAAACAGTTGGCTCCTTGTGAGCTGATGTGGTGAGCTTCTGTTGGACTACAGGGCATGACTCAGACGAATATGTGTGCTCTCCGTGAGGCTCCTGACTACAGCAGCCGAAATGCTCCATCAAGTGGTGTGGCTTTGTAGTTTACCAAAGTCATACTAAAACATTTTAACAGATATTTGAGCGCCGTGTACCACATAAAATCAGTTTCGAGGTCAGTAATCACAACCAGAATTAAAACAGAAGGCGCACTGGATTATAAGGCGCACTATTGATTTTTGGGAAATTAAAGGATTTTAAGTGCATCTTATAGTCTGAACAATACTGTACTTTAAAATATTAAAAGCAGAACAAAATCCAAAATTTGTAAACACTAAAATGTGCATTGTAATTCTGCCCGGTGTTGAATGAATAGGCATGTTTCACATCTTTCAAAAGAGGATTATGTGTCTTTCTGCCAACAGCAACTAGCATGCTAACAGTGCACTATTGTTACTTTCTGATTTGTGACAGATAAATAGCTATATACCACTTATCTACCATCTACAAAGTTTATAATTAGATGAAGATTACAGGCTCTTTAAATCCATTTTGTACTTTTGAGTTTTTCAGACAATCTTAAAACTTTTTGGTGGTGTTTGCTAATGTGTGCATTGTGTCACCATGGTAACAGCTGAACATTCCGCCACAGAAACACATTTAGAACACCCCCAGCGCAATGTCACCGCAAAGTATCCATAATGACACAGTATATTTAGGTTATCCCCTCTTCTTACCATCGTCCTCCAGCGCCCTGTCCTTTCCGCTGCTCTCGATGCCTGAGGTGTGGGAGCTTCCGTGGGACGTGGTGGAGGAGCTGGTCCTTTGGGGTCTGTGTGGTCCGTGTCCTGGAGCCCTGAAGCTGTCCGCCTCGATGCCGGACGTGTGGGAGCTGCCGTGGGAGGTGGTGGAGTGTCTGGAGAGGCGTTTGGAGTGGGACATGCTGCCCGCACTGCTCCCACTGGCTCTGGAGCGCTTGTCCAGGTGATCCATGTCCAGCTCCAACGCGTCACTGATGTACGATTCTCTGTACTGCTTCTTCTCTGCAAATATAAAAGGGGAAATGTTCAAATAAAAGGTTGAAAAATAGGGTTGTCTTCATGTGACATAACAACATTGTAGAATAAAAGTGAGCTGGAGAGCAGGTCAGAATTCTCTTTAACTGTCTGATTGCAGGTTTGTGTTTTTGTGCATATCTCTGTAATTACTGGGTCTATCCACATGAAACAAAAACTCGCACAAAGTTCAACGTCTTCTCTGTCAGTATAAATACAAAAGGGGAATTATACAGCTTCAGCTTAGAGTAGCTTTAGAAAGTGGTGCCATTATTCAAACTCCAAGACGTGATTGTTGTCAGTTAAAAGGACTTCAAGCCACAAGATTAATATGGTAAAAATTATATAAGTTTGTGGTGCCAGTTCATAACAAATGCTGTTAAAGGTCAACATCTGTGGATCATATTTTTTTGTTTTGTTTTTACAGTTATTGCAAGTACAATTACAACATTTTAAATCAATATTCAGTTCACAGTGCACATTTAACACTCGTCCAGGAACATTAACATTTGAGAAAAAACTGAAATATGAACTGCTAAACTTATACAAGAATCCCATGCATTTCAGAACATATTTTATGATGAGGTGTTCCACAAGGGTCAGTGGTTGGACCACTCCTTTTTTCACTGTACCATTTCCCCTTTGGGTTTATTTTCAAAAAAATAACACATGTCTTTGAATCTTTATGCTGATGACGGTCAAGTTGATATGTTCCTGGGAAATCCTTCATCATAATCCTGTTGTTGGGAAGTAAAAGCAAAACAGTGAAACAACATGAGCTTGTTTGTGGTGGAGAGACTGAAGTTTATCTTTGCTGCTGGTCTAAGAGGAGTGAGTTTACGTCCAAACACAGGTCTAATATTTGCCTGGCTGTTTCTTAATCCGTGGAGTAAACTCCTCTCCAAAGCGGCGCCTAATATAATTGGACTAAGCTGTTACATGAAGTTTGAGATTTGAACTACAACACCTCAATCAAACTGCACTATTTTCTGATCTATTAAAATGTTTCCTCATCAAAAACATACCTGGAGTTCTTCTCTCAAACAGAAAACACTTTGTTCCACCTTGTGATGTCATGTAGTAATACAGGAAGTACTCCAGTGTGTTTTAAACTCCATACGCCTTCACTAGAATCATTTGGATCATTTCAGTCCTGGAATCTCTACTGAACAAAAGGTAAAACGTGAAAACTTGAAAACTACTGCTTCATGACATCACAAGGTGGACTAGGGCGTTTTGAGCTTTGGAGATGTAGACAGACTAATAATAAAGGATTACTCAAACATTTGTGAATGAAACAAAACTTGAGGTATGTTTCTGATGAGGTAACAACATTCTAACATGAGCTCATAAGAGTCAGCTTTGCGTAACACAGGATCTTTACATTGGATTAAGTCAGTTATACATTTTTCTTGATGTGTATGTAAATGTAGAATGACGAAAAAAATGAAGTTGCCCTATTTCGTCAAATTAAATAACTGGAAATAAAGATCTTGGTCCTGTGATTACCTTCGTTCTCCTCCAGTCTCCGGACCTGCTTTAGCACCGGCTGCAGGTTCATGTAGAGTCTGTGGCTGTTACTGAGCAGCTGTAGTAAGTGTCTGGATCTGGCAGGGCATCCGGTGTAATAGATGAGCTTACGCGCCGAGGGCAAACCATCAGGGAGGATCTCAAACTTCTTACCCTGAGAGAAGAAAAACATCAGACCAAATTTAATCTCAAAATGATTTATGGATGTTAATTAGACAGAATCAAGAGGCAGGAATGTGAGGCCGTGACTGAAAAAGACCCAAAGGCAAAAAGAAAGGAGCAGTCAGGACACGAGCGGAGTTACTTTTGCATTCCAAGAGACAATTTATTATTTTTTTTATTTAAGTCCATTCTATTTTAGTTTAAAGATGCCCCATGTAACTTTTCACCTGCTTAATTACATGAATATTACTGATGATGCCAAATGAATTACGAGAGGAGTAACATTTGGATTCCAAGAGACAAGATTTCATTTGAGTCCATTTTATATTAGTTTAAAGATGCACCATGTAACTTTTTCGGTTGGAGGTCGACACCTGGTTGTCTGCTTGAATATTACTGATTTGCCTGCAATATTACACAGTATGGCATTAACCATCTCCATGGATACAAACAGATAACAGATAACAGCATCAGGCTAAATTATGAGCAAAGTTATATTGCCATTCCAAGAGACAAGATTTCATTTTATTTCATTTGAGTCCATTCTATTTTAGTTTAAAGATGCACCATGTAACTTTTCACCTGCTTTTCTGCATGAATATTACTGATTTGCCTGCAATGCTTAACTATCTCCATGGAGACGAGCAGGTAACAGCAACAGGCCAAATTACAAGAGGAGTTTGGAATTCTAAGAGATCAGATTTAATTTGATTTAATTTGAGTCCATTCTATTTTAGGTAGGAAGGTATTAAAATGGCGTATTGTCAAAAAATACACACTTTGGCAGTATTTACTTACTCAGTACTTTCATACTGATCTTTATTTCAAAACAATTTAACCAGAAAGAGCTGGTTTAGTTGAAACTACAACTGGTGATCTGTTTTGTGTCTTTAAAACAAGTCTCTCACACATAAAATAAGTCACAGGCCAGCACACGTTAGCCAATAGTTTTTTCTGTAGTAGAGCTAGTAGTCAAAGCATTTGCAGTACTTGTATTCATAGTAGTAGTCCATCTATAAACACTGTGTGCACAGTTATTAGGCAAGTGGGTATTTTGACCTTATCTTGATTTTTAAACATATTCACCAACACTAAGCTGTTTAAACTTGAATTCTGATTGGATTTAAGAATATCTGGTGCTGTGTATTTGCCAAACGAGGAAGGGTGTGGCCTAAAGAGATTAACACCCTGTATCAAGGTGTGCAGAATTATTCAGCTTCTTTTCCTTAGGCAAAATGGTTCAAAAAAGAGATTTAAATGACAGATTTTTTATTATTATTATTTTTTTTTTTTTTGAAAGGTCAGTAGTATTTATTTGTAAATTTGAGTTGTTTACAGATGAAAATAAACAAGTGAGAATGGAAAATGTACATTTTTCATTTAGTTATGCAATAATTCTGCACATTTATAGTTGCCCAATAATTATGCACACATAGATTTTCTCCTAAGAAAGCCAAAACATCACTTTTACTTTCTTAAATATTCAGGTTTGAGGTTTATTAACATTTTGGATTGACTCAGAGCACTGTAACTGTAGTTATTCAATTATAAAATTAATGCTTATACATAAAACTTTCCCAATAATTGTGCACACAGTGTATTTACATTTCACTTTGTGATGAAAATGTATATTGTGGAAACATTTTCCTCAATCTGTCTGTGTAAATGAATGTGATTTCTACCTGAGAACCAGTTCAGTCATTAACACGTGGAAAGGCTCAACAGACACACGTTTCTCCACCTTCAAGAAGCCCTTTGTGGTCTTAACTGTCCTCAAATGTCACTCTGCTTTTATATGTATGTAACTTGTATTTCTCTATGTAATTCAGAGCACAGATGCTCTGGGGAGATGGAGGAGATGCTCTGGAGGAGATGCTCTGGAGGAGAGGCTGTGGGTCTGTGGTCAGGGTGGCCTAGGCCCTGTCCATATCTGCTGTAACAATGATAAATCTTTGTCTGAATTCTAAAAACTCATTGGGCTTCGCAAATGGATTAATTACTTATCATTAAGAGACACATAATTTTTTCCACAACAAATTCTAGTCTAGTACATGTTATAAAAATGGCACATTGTTTAGTTTGCAATAACCAATCAGTAGCTTAAGGAGTAATTCAACAAATAATTATGTTATAATCTTATAATAATAATAGGTTGTTACTTTTACAAAAATGACTTTGAGCCATTTTAGTTCAACAAATAGACCTATCTCAAAGGTAGAAACAAAAGAAGACAAAAGTAGTCCATCTACAGACATTTACATTCTCTATTACAAGTTTTGCTCAGGTCTGGGCCAGTCTAACCTCTCTCCTCTTGTGTTATTGTAGCCGTGTTACATAAGATGTAATAAATTATGTCCTTTAGCTCCAAAGCCACAGCAGCAGACGGAGTGAGGGTCAGGCTTTTTCAAACAACTTCAAAAAACCACTTAGTCCAGGATCCGATTTCACTCAGAACATGTGGCAGCTCTTCTGTCTCTCTCTTTCTGACAACTTTGGAAAAACTTTGTGGAAAAAAAGTCCTTAAAATGGCCACACACATAGAAAGTAGGGCTTAACTATTTGGGGAAAAAAATCACTTGCAATTTATGCTTTAATACATGGAAATTCTGTTTTAAAGGTCCTATATTATGCAAAATGGACTCTTGTGAGCTTTAAAACATGTTCGAATGTCATTACCTCCTCAAAAACAGACCTGGAGTTGTGTTCTGTTTCATTCACACATGTTTGAGTAACTTTATTATTAGGGCCTGTTTAACCGAGAACACTTGCGGGTAAAAACGACAAAATATTTAATCAGAAGTGCCTTTAGACAATAACAGCAATTGTAGGGCTTAAAAATGCAAAAATCTGAAACCACCCTCCAGAGTGGAAAAGTTGAATATGCTTCCATCTACACTGCCCAAGATGCAAAACTCTGGTCAGATCTGCTCACGTTGCGTACACGTTTATGTCACATACATACAGTACACACACAGGTTCAGCCCTGGTTCAGTCCTGGTTCAGTCCTGGTTCAGTCCTGGTTCAGTCCTGGTTCAGTCCTGGTTCAGTCCTGGTCCCTTATGTCTCAGGTCAGTATAGGACAGTAGTGCAGATATCAGGAGCTTGTGCAAGTTGTTTTCACCATTGCCAGTAGCTCCAGTTTAACATTTAAGTTGTAACTATTTTATATTTATTATAGTTTTATATCTTACGTCAGGAGAAGTGGGTGGATGGCGTACCCCCACGTACCACAACCACTACACCCCTGCTTTTGCGTCACCGTGCGCACGCAGATTTCCTTCCAAAAACGCTCATCTATACGCGGAATGACACGATGCCACTTTTGCGCCTTCTGTTCAAACCGTCATCATATAATCGTAGCCTAAGTCTGTTTATTTCTCTAAAGCTTAAAATGCTCTGACCTTTTATCTTTAGCTCAGTAGAGATTGTCAATTCTAGGGCTGAAATTGTCCAAAGGATTCTAGTGAAGGTGTATGGAGATATGTTTAAAAATACATGACATCACAAGGTGGAACAGAGTGTTTTCAGTTAAACGTGTGAATAAAACAAAACACAACTTCAGGTCTGTTTGTGATGAGGAAACATTATAACATTAGATCAGAAAATTGAGTAATATTGGCCCTTAAACTACAGGGTCAGCAGCTTTTATGCATTTGAGGAGGAAATTATGGTACTTCAAAATTTGGCAGCCGTTTCGATTTGCAAACTGCGCACATTAAAACTAATTTTGATTTGATTGCGATGAATATTGCAGCCCCAAAAGAAAGACGTTTTTAGACAAATCTTTCAGTAAGGAATTAGAGGAATGCCACGCCAACTGGACACAGTACACATGACTCATCTCAGGCTGTCCTACAAAACCACAGATTCACAGAGACATCATGAAAACGTACTTAAAATGTAGTTAAGAATCTAACAAGAAACCAGTCATTTAATACTCTGAATCAGACATTTCTTCTTTTAATGTTCATGCTTCTACTTCTACTTTGTTTACAGTAGATTTTATAAGCTTTATTGGCTAGTAGTAGTAGTAGTAGAAGTAGTAGTAGAGGTAGAAGTAGTAGCTGTTGTTGCAGTAGTAGTAGCAGTAACAGTAGTAGAAGCGGTAGTAGTAGAGGTAGAAGTAGTAGTTGTAGTAGCAGTAGTAGTAGCAACAGTAATAGTAACAGAAGTAGCAGTAGTAGCAGTAGCAGAAATAGCAGTAGTATTAGTAGTAGCAGTAATAGTAGTAGTGTTAGTAGCAGCAATGGTAGTAGTAGTAGCAGGAGTAGGAGGAGTAGCAGTAGTTGCAGTAGTAGTAATAGTAACAGTAGCAGCAGTAGCTGCAGTAGTAGTAGTAGCATTAGTAGTAGCAGTGGTAGTAGTAGTAATAGTAGTAGTAATAGTTGTATTAGTACTAGTAGTAGTAGTAGCAGTCGCAGTAGTTATAGTCACAGTAGTAGTAGTATAGTAGTAGTAGTAGTAATAGTAATAGTAGTAATAGTATTAATAGTAGTAGCAATAGTAGTAGTAATAGTAGTACTAGTACTAGTAGTAGCAGTCGCAGTAGTAGTAGTCACAGTAGTAGTAAGAGTAGTAGTAATAGTAGTATTAACAGTAGTAGTAATAGCAGTAATAGTAGTAGTAGTAGTAGTAGTAGTAGTAGTAGTAATAGTAATTGCAGTAGTAGTAAGAGCAGTAGTAATAGTAGTATTAACAGTAGTAGTAATAGCAGTAATAGTAGTAAGAGTAGTAGTAATAGTTGTATTAGTACTAGTAGTAGTAGTAGTAGCAGTCGCAGTAGTTATAGTCACAGTAGTAGTAATATTAGTAGTAGTAGCAGTAGTAGTAATAGTAGTAGTAGTAATAGTAATAGTAGTAGCAATAGTAGTAGTAGTAATAGTAACAGTAGTGGTAATAGTAGTAGTAGTAATAGTAATAGTAGTAGCAATAGTAGTAGTAATAGTAATAGTAGTAGTAGTAAGAGTAGTAGTAAGAGTAGTAGTAATAGTA